TTGAAAAATATGATATTTGTTGAACAATGTAAATATAACCATCTTGATACAATAGTCTAAAAGAAGCCTTTTAAATAATTCCTTACAGAAGATAAATTACTTAATATTGGAATTATCAGAAAAATGCAATAGTTTAATTTTCCAAGGAGAAAAATAAAACTAAGAAAAACAGATAAGAAAAAATATTTTCCTTTACATGAATGGTGGGTTAATGCAAGTTAATATTTATCTTGTAATTTATAAAGGTCATTTTTAAAATCTTTTTAATATTTAACAAAAACACATTTATTTATATTGGTAATTGAGGTGATTTTAAATCTCCTGTTATAAGGAGTAAAATGTATATAACCATAGGTATAGTCAGATGAGAACATTATTCCATTTCATTAATCCCTTTAATAGATGTGTTTTTATTCTTAAAAGTTAAAAAAATTCTAAGCTATGCATATTTGAGAAATCAACATGTGAAGTGATCAATTCAGAGCCAATGACAACTAAATAACTTTAGACATTTTTTACCTGAATTTCAAAGCCATAGACAAAATAGTTGGTTGTATAGGCCATTTTCTGATATAATAAACATAGGCTATTAAATGAAAGGAAAAAGTAATTAGTAGACTTGTTTGCCATGGAAAAGATCAAACAATTAAAAATAAGACATGTCTTTCATATTAACCATGAACTATCCTGTCTACAAAACATTAATACAAGTGTTTCCAAATTCAAGACAGGCTAATTGCAGAGAAAAATTACAAAGTTAGTTATGTCAGCAGTCAGAAGGATGTGACTGTTAAGAAGCAATTATTTCTAATATATCCAATTGTGATCACTTAGATATGAGGTGTCCCCCAGAAAGGTCATGTGTGAGACAATGTTAGAATGTTCAGAGGTGAAATGATTAGATTATGAGGTCTGACCTAATCAATGAATTAATCCACTGATGTGAATTGACTGGGCAGCCACTGTAGGTAGGTAGGGTGTGGTGCAGGAAGTAGGTCACTGGGGACATATCTTTGGGGTTTATCTTTTGTTCCTGGTAAACAGAGCTCTCTGTTTCCTGGTTGCCATGCCCACACTGCTTCACTCTGGGACACTGTTCCACCATGCTGTTCTGCCTCACTTCAGACCTGGAGATATGGATTTGGCTGACCATGGACACAACCTCTGAAACCATGAGTCAAAATACATGAAATTGTCAGATCTTCTGGTCACACTGATGAAAAAGCTAACTGAAATACTGATTAAGTTTGAAAACCTGATCTTTGGTTACATAATAGGATTAATGAAAATGATATTTATGGCCACCAAATTTTTCTAAGAAATTTTCTATAATAAATTGAAATATATTGCAATATATCCGGTCTCTTTATCATGTTCTTATTTTCTTAATACTTTCATTTTATTTATTTATGTAGTGCTTAGGAATCAAATCCAGTGACCCATGCATATGAGGCAAGTGCTGTACCACTGAGCCACAACGCCAGCCCATGTTCTTAAATTTTTATTACTTTAGATCTTTGAGGAGTTAATGTTACCTACTTTTTAAGTAGACACTCAGCTTTCACATATATATCTATGCATGGAAACATGAGTATATTGTTTGGAAGCTAATGTCTTTTTTTTGTCTATTCTTTATAGTAAAATTTATACACTAATTAAAGTTTCTAGCTTGCTTACTACATAGAGTTTTAATTGCTAAGGGAATTCACTAACACCATACAAGGTTTTCCCAGGGTCATTAATTGATACATTTCTCATGTTGTCTTAGTCAGCTTCAAAATAAAAGGGACATCTCTCTCTCTCTCTTTTTTTTTTTTTGGTAGAACTTGATCATAAGACTGACCTAAGTAAGAGCAAGTGAAAGAAACCTTGAACAGTCTCAGTTTCTTCCAGTCTCAACTTCAAAAACAAGACAGTGAGGTATGGAGAAAAAAAGTTGAGGATATTTTCATGTGATGTTTTCTTAAATAAAATATTTTTTCCAATTTCAAAAGTAAGACATTTATTGCAGAACACTTGTTAATATTAAAAAGCTTTTAGAAATCATTAGAGGCTCTGTCATTCCACCATGCAAAGTAAATTGTTTAAATGCTTTGAATTCATCTCAAGGCATTTTTCTACTGAAATTAAGTTTTTACCATTTGTTTAAAAAATCTGTCTATTTTCTTAAACATTCATATTTTATTTTGGCTCTTGAAACTTTCCTTACTGATAATAAGAACATCAATGTAATCTTTTATATTAAGAACATACATGCATCTTCATTTCTCCAGTTCAGCTTTTGCCTCTGGCATTTGTGTTTTTGAGATAATAAAGGGAGTTTGCTCATCTTCATCGAATAAAATCTACTTTCTTCTGTGATTTATGCTTTATCACGATCCTTTAAAAAGTTTCACTAATAATATAAAATACATTGAGCCACATATACTCACTTATATATTTCTTTAGACATTTTATTTTTTGAACTATTATTTAAATGCTTTAAACATTTGAATTTATTTTTTTGTATGTCTCTAGTAGCTAACCAGTCCTTCTCCAAAGAACTTCCCAATGATTTGAAAATCACTTTATCATCAACAGCACCTTTTAAATAATTGCCTTTATTCTGAACTCTCTGGGTTTCTTCCATCTATTTATCATTCTTGTTTATGGAAAGTAAAGAACCACACCAATTACTGTAGGTTTATGGTACATTTTAATATCAAATCTATCTGGCTGTTTCTCTTCTCTCAAATTTTGCTAGAGATTCTTCAAGCATATATTGAAGGGACTGGTAGGAAAAGGTTGAGAGACATGTTCTTGTCTCCCTGGTGAAGTGAGTTTGTCAGAATTTCAAATGTGATTTTGAATATATTTCCAGTCCAGTTCATCTGTAGTAAATTTCCTGATCAATACTTATCTATCTTGGTTTCAGTGCTGCTATAACTCAAAATATTTTGTGTGGTAGAGAATCTGTCTGTGTGGTAGATTGTGAGCCAGTATAGTTAGTGACTATCACAAACCTTGTTATTTATGAATTTTAAAAAATCCCCCCACAGTTATATAGAAAACAAGCAATTCTCTGATTTGAAGTCCTTGATTACTAAATACTAGTTATGTATGCATTCGAATCTGATTTAACCTCATTACCTTTTATAGGCTTTTTTCTTTTTAATTAACATGAAATAATTGTACATATTTGTGTGGTATGGTGTGGAAGGTAAATTTTATAAGCCAATAGTGACAAGTAGTGTTGATAGTTTAATGAATTTATGGTTCCCTTAAATTTGTATAAAACTTATACATATATGCATTATTTTTCATTAAAATGCTATTATCTATATATACTATATTCACATTTTAAAGTTAATATTGTATCTTATACATATTTTCATTTTTAAATTATTACACTGTTGATGGACTTCTGGAGTGCTTTCTAATATTGATTATTTAAGCAATGCTATTATTGATCATTTTTATTTGAAAATTTATGCTATAAATCCTAGAAGTTGAGTCTCTTTCAAGATGTTGTAAAACTTTTACATCTAAAATAAAGTACCAAGTTCTCCCCCCAGATGTGCCAATGTTCCAACAGTAATATGTAAGGATTTTCAAATCCCCATTTTACACCCTCAAGGTTGTGATTAAAACATTGTAACAATTCCCTTTGTTATTGGATTGTGAATGTCTGAATTCCTAAATCTCTAAATGTCAAAATTCCATATTGTTGGCCAGTGTAAATAGGGACTTACTTCCTAATTCATTTATCTTTTTAATTATATAATATGTAAGATATTTCTATAGTTTTAGTGTGCCCATAACACGTGAGTACAAGACTAAAAATCTATCTTTTACAAAAAGAAGGTAAGTAATTTGGCTTAAAATTTGTTATACTGAAAACTGGTCTTCATGTTCTTGTCATTAGTAGTCACTTTCAGGATTAGCATTTAATGCCACCTGTGGTCTTTTCCAAAAGCATATAATATTGCATATGCAATCATGTATCAGTTGTAAAATCAAACTGAGTTTTTAAAAAAGAATAAGTTTTAAGAATATATGGATTGCCAAAATTAACAGTGTTTGTTTTTTGGCATTGTAAGAAAAGTATTTTCTTCATATTTTTAAGTTTTATAAATTATATTAAAAAACATTCATTATTTTGATAGTTAGATAAAAAATTAAACATATGAAACTGAATAAAGTGAAAATTTGTTGAAAAACAAATCTATCATTTAAAACTTGCTTTATAACAACCTGAGATTATTTGATGTTATACCTAAACTATGACATTGTTCTTAAAACAAGTTCCAAAATTTTAATTAAGTGAAATTTTTACTTGTAATTTAATTAAATCTTAACAAGTAATAGTTAAATTGCATAAAGAGAGAAAATAAAAACATATATGGTTTTCACATAAAATTAAATAATGTCATAAACCTTGAAGATATGTATTACTACATGAATTCTCAAAAAAGCTTATATATTTATCAGAAATGTGGTTGAATTCATTGTGAAATTAGAAATTATCCAGGACTAAGAAGAAAATTCCAATTGTCAGAATAAACTTCCATGTTTTATCATTAGTTTTAATGTACTTTCTTAAATAGTTTAGTTTTCCATGTATATACAATTTATTGCATTTTAAATATAGTCTTGTCTTCTTTTTCTTCATGATATAACCATTTTTCTTAGTTTAACAAATATTTTTGTAAATATAATTTTACCAAGATAGTTTTTAAATGTTGTCACTTTACTTCATATATTCCTTCATATTTTAAAGTTTCAGTGTAAAATTATATAATATTTTTATTTGCATAATTGTCTTTATTGACAAACATTTTATTTAAGCTAACATTTATTTAGTTTTTAGTTTTCTTTCAAACTTTTATTCTTGTTGATTTCCCTAAATGGAAAGTATCCTGTTCATAAATTTAGAGATGTAAAATATGTATGCTAAAACAAAGAAAATTCTCTAATATCTAAATTTTGATTTACTATGTGTCTCTTTAGAAATAAGATTTTTGTATTTGATGTGACATATCTATTTTGAATGCTGCTAATGTTCTGTCGTTCAATATTTTTTATCTAGGTAAAACCAAGTCAAATGGATGAAAACCAAACAGAAAGGGTGAAAGAATTTGCTCTGGCAGGATTCTCAGAAAATTCATCTATTGAGGCAGGGCTATTTTTATTATTTCTTTTCTTTTATGTGTCCACATGGGTAGGCAATGTCCTCATCATGGTGACAGTGGCCTCTGATAACTACCTAAATTCATCGCCTATGTACTTCCTTCTTGGTAACCTCTCATTCCTTGATCTGTGTTATTCAACAGTAACAACCCCTAAGCTTCTGGCTGACTTCCTTGATAACAAAAAGCTCATTCCCTACAACCAGTGCATTGTGCAACTCTTCTTCCTGCATTTTGTAGGGGCAGCTGAAATGTTCCTGCTCACAGTGATGGCTTATGATCGCTATGTAGCAATCTGTCGCCCTCTGCACTATACTACTGTCATGAGTCGAGGTTTATGCTGCGTGTTAGTGGCTGCCTCATGGATGGGAGGATTTGTGCACTCCACTGTCCAGACCATCCTCACCATCCGTTTGCCCTTTTGTGGGCCAAACCAGGTGGATAACTTCTTCTGTGATGTCCCCCCTGTCATCAAACTTGCATGTGCAGACACCTTTGTCATTGAACTTCTCATGGTATCTAACAGTGGATTGATATCAACCAGCTCCTTTGTGGTGCTGATTTGTTCCTACACCACTATCCTGGTTAAGATTCGCTCCAAGGAAGGAAGGAGAAAAGCTCTCTCCACCTGTGCATCCCACCTCATGGTGGTAACACTCTTTTTTGGACCCTGTATTTTCATCTATGCCCGCCCTTTCTCCACTTTCTCCTTGGACAAGATGATATCTGTACTCTACAATGTCATTACCCCCATGCTAAACCCCCTCATCTACACACTTCGGAACAAAGAGGTCAAGTCCGCCATGCGAAAGCTATGGGATAGGAATAGACTTTGGAAAAAATAGGAGACATGAGACACTGAAGTGAGTTTTTGATAGCAGAGAGAGACTATGAGAATACCACAGTTGCTTTTTGACTAATGAATCAGGAGGCAGAAGCCTCTATGTTTAATTGTCTTCCATTAAGTCACAATGCCACTGCTTCTGGCTTTATATCTAAACTGTGCGTGATTGCTGACTTGTTATGTATTCTGCTTTCTTTTCTTGACTGAATCAAATATAGTTTCTGTTTTCCTATTGATTTGTGTTTTAAAATTTTATCTCTTCATCTGATAAAATTTCATTCCATGATCTCTTTGTGCTCAGTTTGTCACTACAAACTGCCACAACCTATTCTTTCTGAGCTCTCAATAGCTTCTTATTTGCTTAGCTACAGACTTTACTTTCTTTTCAGTTTCAAATTATTCTCATTACATTCAACTGAATGAGAAATTTGTGTTTCTTATTCTCACTAAATATTTTAAAAGATAAATGTTTGATGAGTTAATGATTTACATTTATGAATGGGATATATTTGTTAGTTAATGGGATATATTTGTCAGTTTTGTCACCTCACCACACCACTGATATCTAGAAGGGAAAGTGAGGGAGCAATCATCTAATAATTGTGGGTTCAAATACTCCTCTTTTAATTCTCAGCCAAGTGAATCTGGATGAATCAGCTAGAACATGGGAGCCCTAATTTCCTCTTCTCTTCCATGACTAGAATGACCTACTTCTTAATGCTGTTATGAAAATTAAAAAGGCACAGGATGTGAGTGGGTCTGAGTTGGTATGTGGCTCATAGCAGTGTTCAACAAATATTTATTCATTAAAGTTGATTTTTTCAATATGAAAAAAGTATAAATGATGAAACTCTGAACTGGTGGATTTACCTTAATGTAGCAACAGTTTGATGCATTGTCACTAGTTTGTGGAGGACACTGTAAAGTGTATAGGAAAGAGTATATGGTACTTTCACCTTTGTCAATTATTGGGCACAGTTTATATCACTATCACCCCTTGAATCCTTAGAGTTACATTAAGTCATAGACCTGTTTTACTGCATAATGAGTCTTTATATTCAAAGAAAGGAAAACTAAATTGATATTCAAGTTTAGAACAAACAATACAAATAAAATATAAATCTAAAATATGAATAAACTTTCATTTTAACACCATATTTAGTCAGGGGATGATAAAAGCAAATTCAGCAACTGGTTTTGTCATAAATAGAGATAGAAGACAAGAGCATTTGGTAATCATTAAAGATTGTAATTTTATCTTTATTCTCATTATATTTCTAAAATTGTTACCATAGCTAAAGTAAAATGAATAAAATAGAGACCAAAAAATGTGTTGAATTAGTGTAGAAGACTTTATATGTCATCCATGTGATGTTGACTAGGGAAGAATATTTCAAAGTTCTAACCTTTTCCCACACTTGGAAACATAACTAGTACACTTTTTTGAGGCATTGGGAACTCTGAGTAAACAGGAGTTGATGACATTATTATAAAAAGCAACTCAAACCCAATACCTGACACCAACCAAAGCTCATATGGATATACCACTATTATTATGATAGAATTCCATAAAATATCTCAATGTTGAGCAGATAATTAAGTAATCTAATTCATAATATACACAACTATGAATACTGACTCTATCTATGGGAAGGTGAGTATGGAATCAGATGGGTCTATATTTGAATTTGGTTGGTACTTTAATAATTCCACCACTGGCATGACTTCCCAGATGCCAAGCTGTGCAGCCAGCCTCCTGGTCCCTGCCAAGAAGTGGCAATGGAATGATGAATCAGTGGAGCAGCTGAGTGGTGGCCTCAGTAAGTTGAGGTATGGTTGGCAGGCATAGCCTATGGCCATGTGGAGCTCTCCTGGTAGGCATGGGTGAGGATAGCACTGAGGTGAGCTCAGGATAGCCAAGTCATGCCAACCTGTCATCCTTCATAGGCCAGGCCTGGGCGCTGTTCTGATGCCTGCTGCAGAAGCCTGCTCCAAGCAGCATCCATCCAATGACTTCAACCTCCCCCTTCCTGATCTGCCATGAGAAAAATGGAAATGGAGCAAATTGAATGAAGTTGTGACTCAAGAATTGATCAATAGTGTTAGTACCATTTCCAAGCTCTAATTAACAAAAGTTTGGACCAATAGCAATGAACCAAGTGCTATATAAAGCACTAGACTAGAGACCCGCGGGCGCTTTGCTCCCATCTGCTTCCTCTTTCGCTTCGCTCCGGGCAGAGAAGCTGAGTGTGTAATCAGCAGTGGATTGTAAGTACCCGAGGCAAAGAAAGCTCAGTGCGCCCCGCCTTTTTTTTCTTTTTTTAATATTTTTTATACAGGGAGAGTTTGTGGATTGGGATTGTTGGCGGGGCTGTGGTTTCTGTGCCGAAAATCCACTCCGCGGGAGCCGCCATTTGCTTTCTGCTTGCTGTCTTGATGGCTCCGTGTACATTGTCCGGCAGCCGCACCTAGAGGTTGGAGCTGGGCTGCGTGCCGAGCCCCGTCCTCCGAAGGCTGGACTGCAGCCTCAAGCGCCTCGGTGGCCTGTTCGCCGCTGCACCTTCGGGCAGAGCCTGCTCTGGGGTCGTTCTGCACCCCCCTGCCAGGGGACCCGTGCTCCGGAGGAAGGGGATGGAGAGCCGCGGCGGCAGCCGCTTGGGCCCCAGGGGCCGGGCTCAGGGCTGAAGAGCTGCGGAGGCCAGGGCGGCTCTGCTACGGTTGCACACGAGCGCAGCGCCCGTGAGCGCGGCCCAGAGATGGAGGCGACAGCGGCAGGGTTTCATTCCTAGAAATCTGGACTGGAAACGGAAGCAGCAGTTTGTATAATCCCAAGAACTTGCTTATGCCAGGAAGCTGTAAGGGCAACATGAATATTACTGAGGAGATCTAACATGGTGGCAGGCGCAGAGAGATCAAGTCTCTGACACCTTCGACTGCGCGGGCATAGGGAGCCGTAAACTGTCTAAATGCTGTTTGCTCAGGATCACTAGGCAATGCTGAGCTGACGTGGATCTGGGGTGTACAGGCTGGGCCCCTCAGAGCATACACACAGAGCCCGAATCGGAGGCAATTAAGCTCCGGTTCGCCTGCTTCCTGTGACTCAGCACTAACGATCCCACTGAAATAATTGGTCGGCCCTTAGGAACTTACAGAGGTAAAAGCCAACCGAGCCTTCATAGGCAGTGGCCACAGGACTGAAACAGGGATTGGGAGAGACAGTCAGGACCCACCCGTTGCATTGGTCACCCGGCAAAGGGAATGAACAGTCACCATTTGCATGGGAAACCACCATGGCAGAGAAATGGCGTCACGGGCGGAGGAGATAACTGCATTGAAACCAGCGCGACAGGTGTGTAATCCCCTAGTCATCTCTCTCCACACAGCGGGGAAACCGTAAGGGCCACTCCCAGCTCTCCTGTGAACGCAATAACCAGACTGAGGGAATCAGGAGTGGCACGGGACTCGCGGCGCGGAACTCCCGGCTACTGCTCCCACCAGTGCTGACAACTGAGGGCTCTTGCACCAGCTACCGGGGGCGTGGCTACAGGAGGGCAAGCAAATTCGCTGGGGGATCTCAGCCCCAAGCTCTACAAACTTAGGGTCTGAGGGAGGCAAACAGGGAGAGTGAGCCCAGGTGTTCATGAAAACAGGGCTCCCAGGAGCAGCAGACCCGGCGTGTAGACAGTATTGTGGTGAGCGCCACAGGTGAGCATGGCCTGGCTTGAGGAAACACAAGACAAGGCCCTAGACACTCAGGATTGGAGACCAGCCCAGTCTAGGGGAAAGAGCTGCTGCACAGTGAATGGTTCCCACCTACTGAGAAGAGAAGCTTGGACCAGTGGGCACAGCTCCACCTACTGGAAGAGAAGTTAATAGAACTCTAGGACTGCATTTATTATTATTATTATTATCATTTTTTTTCTTTTTCTTTTTTTTCTTTTTTCCTTCTTTTTCTTTCATTTTCAATTTTTATTTGTTGATGTTCTTTTACTTTTTTTCAATGTTTCTATTTTTTTTTTAAATTTTTTTATTTTATTATTATTATTTTTTTTAAATTTTAATTTTCATTTTTTTATTATCATTATTATTTTTGTTAAATTTTTTTCTCGTCTTTTCTTTCTTTCTTTATTATCTAATCTTTGTTATTTTTGTTCCTTTTGTCTTTTCATTTCTTTTCAATTTTCTTATTCCCCCTTCCTTGAATTCTACCTGCCTACTCTCACTATCTTTAGTGACTTCTTCCCTTCCCTTCTAATATCTTTCCTCCCAAGCATCAAATAAATCTATAAGAGTAAACAGAAACTCAGCAGTCAAACAGAACAAGAAGTAACATGAGCAGCATAAAAAAGCAAGGAAGAAAAGGAGTACAAACAATGAAGGACAGCCTAAATATTCAGGAGGACCTAGAGTCAGCAGAAAAATGGTCATATAAAGAACTCAAGGAATACCTTAGACAAATGGAATGGAACCTTAAAGAAGATACGAGACAGCAAATCCAAACAGTGAAAGAACACTTTGAAAATGAATTACATAAACAGATAAAAGAAGAAGTTAAGCATCTTTATCAGGAGATAGAGATTATAAAAAAAACCCAAACAATAATTCTAGAAATGAAGGAAACGATAAACCAAATTAAAAACTCAATTGAGAGTATCACCAACAGAGTGGAGCAAGTAGAAGCCAGAACATCAGATAATGAAGACAAAATATATCATCTTGAAAAGAGCCTAGCCAAATCAGAAAGGCTGGTTAAAAACCACGAGAAAAACATCCAAGAGATATGGGATAACATAAAAAAACCAAACCTACGAGTCATCGGGATAGAAGAAGGTACAGAGATTCAAACCAAGGGAATGAGTAGCCTGCTGAATGAAATAATTACAGAAAACTTTCCAGAAATAAAAAAGGAAACGGATATACAAATTGTAGATGCATACAGGACACCGAGCACACAAAATCACAGTAGACCAACGCCAAGACACATTGTTATGAAGATATCCAATATACAGAACAAAGAGAAAATATTAAAAGC